CTCTGCTTGCATGCAGCAGAAGCTGCTGCATCTGGTGCTGCTGGAGGTGCAGCAGCACCTGGTCTTGCTGCTGCTGCTTCTCTTCCCCCTCCTCCAGCAGCAGCTGCTGCTGGTCGTGCTGTTGCTGCTGCTTCTCCAGCAGCAGCTGCTGCTCGTCGTGTTGCTGTTGCTGCGCCTCCAGCAGTAGCTGGGGCTGCTGCTGTTGCTGCTGCACCTACAACAGCATCCGCAGCTGTTTCGGGCTCTGCGGCTGCCGCCCTTGGACATCCCCTTGCTGCTTTTGCTGCTGCTTGTGCTGCTTCTGCTTCTGCTGCTGCTGCTGCTGCTGTTGTCTGGGACGGGGGCTTGCTTGCTGCTTCCACTACCGGTGCTTTTTGTTTGTTTTCGTCGGCTGCAGCATCTTTCGCTGCTCCTGCTGCTGCAGTTGCTGCCGATGCTTCTATTGCTGCAGCCGCTGCTGAACCTGCTGCGCCTGCTGCAGCAGCAGCAGGAGAGGCAGGTGCTGCTGCTGCTGGGACCCCCGCTGATAAGGAGACCTCTACAGAAGCATCCGTTGGTGCTGTTGCAAGAACCGCTCTCTCCCGCCCTGGTTCAATCTGCTGCTGCTGCAGCAGCTGCTGCTGCGGCTGCTGCTGCTGCTGCTGCGGCTGTTTGTGCTGATGATGCTGGTTGTCTGGCTGAGGTTGCGTGAGGCTCTCTTTGCTGCTGTTGCTGCTGCTGTTGCTGCTGGTGTTTGAGGGCCCCCCCTGAACGTTATTGCTTCCTTCTCTTATTCCCTTGTTTATTTTTCTGTTTTTCTCTGCTGCTCCTCCTATCACTCGTTTGCTGCTGCTGCGCTTGCGTCGGGTGTTTGCGCATGCAGCAGCAGCAGCAGCAGCAGCAGCAGCAGCAGCAGGGGGGCCCCCCGCCGCCTCCCCTCTAAGGGCCCCTATAGAAGACTGCTGATGTTCTTTAGGGGCCCCTTTATGGGGGGCCCCCTCTTCGAACGACTCAACTAGTGGGGGCCAGCAGCTTCGTTCCTGTTGCTGCTTTTGCTGCTGCTGCTGCTGCTTGTATTGTTGCTCTTGCTGGTCTTGTTGCTGTTGCTGGTCTTGTTGCGGCTGCTGTTGCCGCTGGTCTTGTTGCTGCTGCTGTTTTTGCTGCTGCTGTTTTTGCTGCTGCTGCTGCTGCTGCTGCTGCTGTTGCAGTTGTTGTTGTTGTTGTTGTTGTTGTTCGTTCTGCTGTTTCTGTTCGTGTTGCTGCTGCTGCTGTCTCTGTTGTTGTTGCTGCTTCTGCTGCTCAGTAAGTGAGGGTTTGTTTATTTGGCTGGAAGCAAACAAAGAAGGGCGTGAAGGAGGGCTGCTCCAGCGTAGGGAAGCCAAGGGTAGAGGGGGGGGGCCCCCCTGTAGGGGCCCCCAAGCAGACAGCTCTTGAGAAGGAGAAGGAGAGAGGGGCCCCCCGTCATTAACTTGTGGGGCCCCTCTGCCCTCTGCTATTGAACTGCGAGCTCGGCGCCTCAACAGAGGGGGCCCCTGTTGCCGCTGCAGTGTAGCAGCAGCAGCAGCAGCAGCTGCTGCTGCTGCAGCTGCTGCAGCTACTACTGCTGCTTCTTCCTTCTTCTTCCTCGCCCTTGAAGGCAAACCTTGGGGGGGCCCCCTAGGGGCCCCCTGAGGGGCCCCTGAAGGGAGGCCCTCTGCTTCTGGAGAGGGTAACTTAGGGGGTCCCCTAGAGACAGACGGAGACACTGAAACCTCGCCGGAATCCATCCCTAAACCCTAAACCCTAAACCCTAGCCAACACGCTATGAGAGTGAACCCCTATACGCCGCACAGGGTAGTATCTAAAGCACAGCATGAGGCTACGGGCAGAGGAATTGAGCTGCTGGGCTCGTGAATGCTGCTGCTGCAGCTGTTGCTGTTGCTGCTGCTGCTGCTGCTGAGGCTGTCGCAACTTCCGTTGTTATTGTTGCTGCTGCTACTGCTGCTGCTGTTGCTGTTGCTGCCTCCCACCGAGCACCGCGTGTCGTCGGTTGTCTGAAGGCCGCAAAGGAAAACAGAGGTAGCGAAGGTAAAAACTAAGGGTTTAGGGTTTAGGGTTCTAGGGTTTAGGGTTTAGGGTTTAAGGTCTAGAGTTTAGAGGGATAAGGCTCAGGCTGGGGTTTGTAGTTTAGTCGGCGCATCGCCGGTGACCGTCGGCTGCGGGAAGGCGGAGGCCTCTTTTGCCTTTTCTTCTTCTTTTTCTTAAATTATTAAATTAAAAATATAATTTAATTGAGTTATTTTGAAGTGAAAACAAAAAAAGAGACGCAAATACACAAGAACGAGCAGTCGAAAGCCCTGCACGGCAGGCCGAGCAGCAGCTCCGCCCGCGAGCAGCCTAAACCCTAAACCCTAAACCCTAAACCCTAAACCCTAAGCCCTAACCCACCGTTTTAACCCAAATTTAAATTTTTATTCAAAATTCTTTTTCTTACACATTATCTGTATTATCATTTCTTTGTTTTTGTTGTGGATTAAAGCCCCTAGCCCGCCCGCTGCTGATAGGCGGAGAGAAGGAAGGCATCTGCAGCTCTTTCGTGCTGTGTGTTGTTTTTCTTTGTTTTTATTCTGTTTATTGGTTTTATATTTAAAATATTTTAAACGACCCTCTTAAACTTTCCTTCTCTTTCCTCAACCCCACACACTCGAACGACGCCGACTGCGGCGCTGCCGCCACCCAAACGCAGCATATTTTGTTATTTTTTATTTATTTATTTCAGTGTCCTTAATTGCATTTTAATATATTTAAAGATGTATTTAATGCAATTAAAAGTTGCATTTAATGCAATTAAGAGAGGCAATTTATATACTATATATATATGTATATAATGTCGTGTTGTACTGTAGAGTATAACGCGAGCGGTCTCTGGAGTAATCTGTGTGGGGTTTATCTAGGGTTTAGGGTTTAGGGTTTAGGGTTTAGAGTTTGAGGCCTCTGTATATAAAGATGCATTTAGAGTGTCTCCTGCTAAGAGAATTCAATATTTTGTGGTTTACCCAAACACTGCAGCGCGAATCCGTTTATAACTTATATATATAAATATAAATATATATAAATATATATATATATACATATATACATATATATTGCATACAATTATATTATATAAGTGCAGATAATATGGAAACAAAGCAGCACCTTAAACCCCTCCTAAACCCTAAACCCTAAACCCTAAACCTCTTAACAATTGAGCAGATTGTCTATCCGGGGTTAATGATGATAATGGGGAGAGGAGGCAGAGGAGACACCCGAATCTGTTGCTGCTGCATTTGCTGCTGTTTAGCCGCAGCAAACCCACATGCATGCATTTAAAAACCCCTTCTAATGCGTGCCGAGATGCTAAAGATTATTGTTTATACCCCCAGTGAAATAAATACAAACGACCCCAAGCCCTAAACCCTAAACCCTAAACCCTAAGCTTGATACACCTCCGTATTGCATACAGATCAGATCGTCGTATATACCAGGTGTACGTACACCCCAATAATGCACACATAAAACGGAACCCTCAGAAACACAGAGGCAACAGCTAGGCGCAGCTAACTGCAGCTAGCCACCGCTAGCTGCAGCTAGCCACCGCTAGCAGGAGAGAATTAACCCCCCACAATAAAATTTTTTTCGTTTATTATCAGCGAACTTAGCTAAAAAGATTTGCTGCTGAGGGGTCCCCGGGGTTGCTCTGATCCTGGCGGACCCAATAACTCATTGTCGAACGCAAACGCTAAACCCTAAACCCTAAACCCTAAACCCTTTCCCCAGTTTGAGCAGAGAAGCCTCAGCGGGTGCTGAGTGAAAGCTGGAGAGTCCGTCTGCAGCAGCAGCAGCAGCAGCAACTGCTGCTGCCGCTGCCGCTGCTGCTGCTGCACAGCTCCACAGCAGGCTGGCTAGCTACCCGCCCACCCGGATGGCTAGCTAGCTAGCTAGCTACCCACCCACCCAGCTAACTAGCTATCCATATAGCTAGCTACTCACCCGGCTAGCTAGCTGGCTAGCTAGCTACGGGGGCGGGCGGGGGG